TTATCCACTGATTATCCCTTGTACACAGACCCAGTTATTTGATCATAGAAAACAACAGGTTCGATCAGAAATGATTTACATTCAGTAAATCTGAGATGACTTGGTTACAAGGGTTTCCTTGCTGTGCTTTTCCCAATGAATGGGATGGGACTTGTTGAGCCCCAGAATCCCAGAAATGTTTTCAGAATCTATTTGCTTTATTATTTTTGATGTGTTGACTTTGAGTTCACTTTTGAGTTTCATTTTTCTCATTCAGGAATGTGCATTCCTCTCTTTAACAACATTTCATCCTCCTTCCTCATGAACAGTGAGGGAAGTTAATTTAATTTTTCTGTGTATCTCTTTTGGTATGTGGTCTTGTATTTCTGGAAGACACAAATGATTCCTTTATTGACCTCATCTTCTTTATATATTTGAAAAAAGTTTTGTTATTTACCTTGAGCTCTTATGTAGCCTTCATTTCACCCTTTCATTAGCTTTCCCAGTTTGTCTGGTGTAGATTTTTTTTTGTTACAGCCCCTTGTTACCCCATGTTACATGACTTCTCTGTCTTTCTTAGTACAGTACCTGCTGGGTTTAATTATTTATATTATTGTCTTTGATTACTTTTTGTTCAATCCGAATTCCTGCAGTTCATCCAGCAAGAACACAAAAACATCCAACATTATTTTTTGTATTACTTTTTTCTTTTCTGAGTTATGTTCTAATATTGCTGTTCTCTACAATGCTGATTACTGGCAGTCCCATACCCATATGAGGAAACCTGCAAATACATGAGATTACATTTTATTTTTAATCCTGCTTCTCTTTTCTGTTTGGGCAACACAGGAGCAATGAAGCAACGCAGGGCATGTGGGGCCCAGTGAGAACCTTGTCACGGTGCAGCACTGCAACCTATTTTACATTCATATGACATGTCAGTTAGCAAAAGTCATGGCTGGGGTACTCTCTGTCCAATGCCTTGCTACCAGGAAAGCCCTCTGCAGAGGAAAGCATCATGTTATCCCCTCCGCAAGCATCTGAGAAAGACAGGAGTAAATACCATATCCAGGTATTGGGAGACCCAAATAGTAGATTTAATGCTCTCTCTCCTCTGGGGCTTGCACAGTGTCCTTGAATCCATGGGATTAATCCCATAACAAAACCTTAGCTAACAAGCAATAAAGTACCCAAATGTACTTTCCAGAATGGAGCAGCTGGCAAAGCAAAGGCCTGGTGTCACTGCCTGACTGTAGATGTCCAGAAGGGCTGGTGGGCATTTTTGAAAGGGTGGAAGCACTCTTGTTTCTTTGAGTTGTGTATGGGATTTACAAGCATATGGTACAACATTCTTCATAGGAAAGAATCAGAGACAGATTTGCCCTTGGGATTGTTTGTTGCTTGGTGTTTTTTTAAAGAAATCTCTGGTATGTTTTTCTCTTCCTTAGATCTTACACTTGGGTTATTTAGGATCTCAGTTCTGTGTGATGTTTATTTCATTCAAGACTTTGTTCTTAGAAGTTCTGGTTACAGTGTAGAAGGTTGCTCCTTTGCTTCAGCACAGAACATTTCCTTATTTGAGTATTTCAAAACATATGATAAATCCCCCTGCAATTAATAATGGAGTATTTTACTGAATACCTCTGAATTAATAGGTCTTTTTTTAGGAAAAAAAAAAAAAAAAAGGATAAGATCAGGATAATTAGGTAAAGAGTCTTAAAAAGAAATAACTAGTCATAAATTAAAGACACAACTGTAGACAGTTCTTTCTCCTGCTTTAATCAGAAACCCATCCTGCTCTTGGATCTTTAGTTTCATTCTTGTTCTCTTTCAAGAAAGGTCCTTTTGTGCCCCCTCAGTTTAATTTTTGCCAGGGAAGAAGAGTGATTAAAAACAATACAGAACAGTTATAAGTATTCACAACTGTTAGTCTGTTCTTCTTTAAACTTTTTGCAAATAGGTGCATGCTTTAGTATTTACAATATGTACATACAATATTTACGAGATACAGTTTCCTAAAAGCAGGCCGATGACATTAACCTCAGCTCCATAATCCTGTATTCAATTACTTGGCATGATTCCTAGATCTGTCAAGTGTCAGTTGCTCCTTCTTCACTGCTTAGAGGAGTTTATTGCTTTAAGAATTGCATTTGGTGCCTTTACTTACATGGTCCATCTGAACTAGGGAAGAAAGTGAGGGTTCAAGGAACTGCTTGAGGACCTCATTGAAATCTCATAACAAAATAGGAGATGGCACCTCACCAGACCAGCATCCTCTGATCTAGCCATCTAATTTGTGTTTATGGATTGCTCATACATGCCTTTCTCATTTCATAAAGGAAGGCATTAATAATTCCTGGCAGGGGACAAGTATTTCCCTCTCCAGCTCTTTTACCACCCCTGAAGATCACAGAATAAAGCCACAACTGAAGGACATTGTCTGACATTCAAGCAGTGGAGATTTTTGTCTGTGGCTCTACAGCAGTCAAAGGGCAACTGTGAGAAGATGCTCAAGCCTGGCACCTCTCATGCCTGTCCCCGATGGGACTCTGGCTGCCTCACTGTGCACTGCTTGCGGTGCAATCTGGGTGGCCAAGGGAGGTGACAAAACAGCCTTGTAGGTGCCGGTGTCCCGGGGCTGGGGACGTGCTGGTGATCCTGCTGGATCCAGCAGAGTGTGGGGTGCATGGGCCACCCAAGCTGGGGCCCTCTCCAGCAGCATGGGGCAGGACAGACAGCCCCTTCCTCACCCCAGCTGCAGGCAGTTTTGCTTCCAACCTCATGCTCATGTCAGATACGTGACTAGCCCAAGTCCTGCCTCTAAGCAGGGGTACTGGCTTAGGCTGGAATGGAGTTTCTGCTTCTGCATTGAACAGTGCAAATGGATGTTGGTGGATTTCAGGGCAGGAGTTACCCTGTCTCCCCCAGCCTACACTGGGCACAGACATCCCCTGCACATACACAGCATTCATGATCATACACAGATCAAAACTCCAAACTCACCCTTTTCTTACCACTATAAATTCTGTCCCATCAGCCCTTTGTCCAAAGCCTTGGGGTAACCAGCTGTGCCCTGTTGCTGCATTGTGTCTACCGAAAATGTAATTTAATCCTGTATTCCTTTACCTTATAACCCTGAATTAATTTATGAAGAATCATTGTGGTTGCCAACTCAGTAAATATCACTTTAATTTCTGAAGCAGAAAAGAAAGAGTGAATAGTGAGCTTGAAATGATTCACTGAAATTTCCAATGTGAAGCAGAAATCCCAATTTTCCCATGTGGAAAGAAAAATAAAATGTTTTGTTGTTCATGGATTTCAAATAAAGATACTGCTCACCACAATAATAGGAAAATTACTAGACAACTCTTCTGAGTTTGTTTGGCGACCTTTCTAGCCTGCCAAAAGCTAGTGAAGACATTTAAAAAAAAAAAATTACCAAATATTATAAGTTTAGAATTGGTATGAAAGCAAAAAGACAGCATCAGGATTAATTCCTTGGCATGAGAAAAGAATTAAAATTAATTCAGCCCTTACAAAGTGATGCATGCACTTAGGCTGACATGACAGGGCAATACAGACTCTCACCAGTCACACGTTTTGTGTCTTGAGATGTTTTATATATATACATTGTGGCTACATCACTTCTTTTCCCTTGGTCTATGCTCTATTCATGAAATCATATATATCATTTTGGCTTATATAAAAATATTTTGTTGTAACAGAAACACAAACCTGCTGTGTTGCCTGTGGTTCTCTCTGTGAAATTTTAGATCATTATTTTCAGTGTTTTAGAGCTTCAGGCACTGCTTTGCAGCGATGGTCTAGCAAGCTGTGTTGCCCATTGCAATTAAAACATGTAAGGCTGCTTTAAAAATGTAGTATTTGTGAGAAATGAAGCAGACATTCAAATCTGTTGGAAAAAATTTCTAACCTAGCTACAGTATTTTCTCATCTGCTCTCTGCTTTCATTATTGATTGTAATGGAGAAGATGTATTCCATGGAAATTACTTGCACTGGATGACCATAATTTTGTAAGGGAAGGTCACAGAATAAATGAAAATTAGTTTTATATGATTTTGCTTTGTAATTTGAGACAGATCTTCAACTGGTATAAAATGGCAAGTTTTGCTGAGATCAAGAGTGGTAAAGAAATTTACTTTGGCTTAGCAGCTCTGGAGTACAGAACTTAATCAGAAATGTAATTCTTCTAAGTAAATTTCTGAGTGAAATCTGAAATTTTCTGTGAATCAGATTTATTCAGCTATCTTTAAAAATAATTTTTTTCAAGGTCAGTTAGGTTTCAGAGAAGAAATCCCTTTTTTACTGAAGTTGATGAGGAAAAAGACATCTTGCTGTTTTCACTGGAACATATGCAAAATTAGTGCCTTCAGATCCTGCTAGCAAAAATAAAGGGAATGGAGGGAGAAAACCAGGCAGTAGCTACACTACAGTTCTCAAGACAGAAAATTACTGTGCTACACTCAGTATTTGCTCTTGCATAACATGGAGGTGTCCTGATCTCATCCACACACTACGCTTCATGCCAGAATTTAAAGGGAGTTTAATAGTCCCAAAAGTCAAAAAAAAGGGGCTTACACTGTGGCAGTACATCATGAAAGGACAGTAAAGAGCAAAGGACTACAGCTGCTGAGGTATGGTGTTTTTAAGAGAAAAACAGATAAGTAGTCAAGAAAGTTATGAAGGAATACTGCATCCAAGTGTGACTGCTGCATGTTTGGAGATGAGAATGAAAGGCAAAAAGCAATGGAGAGGAATTAATCAGTCGAGTCTGTCTTCATTCAGCACCAGTGCATGAAGCCATTTCAAGGCCATGTGAGTGCTCATACAAAATACTGTTACACAAGCTCCTTGAGATGGGATGCATTTTAATATTTTAGAAGAGTTTATGCACTTTGGAAAAAATATTTTTTTTTGCTAATATGTGCTAAATTGCTTTTTGGTGTACTGATCTCTAGAATTGTACAGTAATTTTTCTAATGTGGCCTTGCAGATGGACTTGACCATAAATCTATGCATGGGATGTGCAAGGATGTCATATAAACCTTTCAGCCTGGGAAGTTATGGCTATTCTGCTAAGGGGAACTGCAGCTGCTGGTATCTGTGAGTCAAATAAGCCTCTGCCTTATTATCATACTGCTATTTAAAAATGTGGAACAAACATCTGTCTTCAAATAATAATAGAAAAGTTGATTGTTCTATGTCTTGAAGGCATGAGTTTCTGAGGTCAGTAGGGACAAGAAAAAGACTATTGAAATAAAGTGAAAACGTTGGAGGTCTGTGGGTATCTCTGAAAAATAATTGAGCTTCAGTTTAATTTCAGTGGGGCTTGGGGATCTGGAAAATATTCTTGATCTACCAGACATTTGCAGAGTTAGTGCTCTTTAAAAAAGAAATGTTTTCATATGATTTCTAATTATATTCTTTTGTAATGAATGGAGACAATTTCAAATGGTTTGTGTCAGGAGATAGACAGAAATGTTGAAAAATCAGATGGGAACAATGTGCGCTGATGACTTTCCTTGAGTCTCTGTAGGATGATTATTACTGCCTTTTACCAGACATAGAGAGGAAAGTGTATCAGTGAATTGGTAAAAGGTCATTTTACATTTCTTTCTCATTTCCGTAAGAATACAAAGGTTAATCTTTATTTAAGTCCTTTCTCTCTGAAGCAGATCCATTAGCAACTCAAGGATCAAGCTATCATGATAGACATCTTCAGAGCAGTCACAGAGTGACTTTTTTCCCCCTCCATCCATGGCCTGTAGAGAGCTGGTGGCATCCAGCACTGGCGCTTCTCCCACACATAAAGCCTTGTAGAGCCCAGTCCACATGGTCATTCCTATGCAGAGTCAATTTCCCATCTTTCCTTTCAGCACCTTGTATGACAAGTCTTACTGATGCTGAGGTATTAATGTTTAACCTGTCTCTGTGCTGAAGTACAGGAGGCCATCAGATACATATGACAGCTGTTCTAGCCTCCTGCTCTGAGCAGGGCTATCTTACTCCAGATTTCTCAGAGCTTCATCCAGGCTGGCTTTGGATACTTCCAAAGATGGAGGCGGCACTGTCTCTCCTGGGCCCCTGACCCCTAAGTTAAATCTTCCTTTCCTGTGCTAGTTTGAAGATTCCCTTGCTGGAACCTGTGACCTTTGCCTTATCCTTTTGCTGTGACCCTGAGCAGAGGGGTACTGGGACCATCCTGGGGCTGCAGTCCACCAGGGCTGGCATGAGCACAGGAGGCAGTACACTGCACCAGCTCTGACAGTACATCTGGAAGTGTCCCATCCTTCTCATTTTAAAGGAAGGTGTCAGAAGACCTCCATTGATGAGAGCTACTGCTTTAGGCATCCTCCTCCTGCTACTCATTACAGATTGGTTCAAACAATGAGGCAAGACTTCAAAGTAAGCATAAGAAAAACTACTGCTGTAAGAATCAAAATGTGGTGGTTTCAGTTAAACCAGGCAGAAACACCAATTAAGTGTAGTGGTTTTGGTTTGCCAATCTGAGTTTCTCGGCCAATGCACCAATTAATGTAGTGGGTCTAATGCTGTCCAAATACCAGTGCTCCCACTCAAATTATTTGCTCATTTTTCTGCTGCGAGATAACAATTAAGAGGAGAGCAAATCAGGCTCAAAATTTTAAAGGGTATAAAGAAAATTTATTAACAGAATTTAAAAAAACCCAACAAGAAATCAGAATGAACCTTCATGTGACAGCTACAGCTGATCTGTAAGCTGCACAGATAAAATTTGCCATAACAGACCTCAACTTGACCAGCCTGGATTGTTGGAGAATAGAAGTAAACAAGTCCCTGGATAAAACAGTGATGGGCTAGATTTGAGTTCACACCAGGGACCCCAGTCAATCCCAGTCAATCCTGAATGCAGACATATAAATGGCCAGTGAGCTGGACATGTTAAGACTTTGACCAATCAGGTGTGTAAGAGCATGAATTTTGCAGCCCCTATTAAAGAGGGTAACCACCAATAAATCTTGGCTGTCATCACATGAACTCAGTGTGTTCAGTCATGTGTCTGTCTTCAAAACTGCAACACCTTCAGAACACTTCTCCTTCCCCCACCTCCTCTTTTCTTTCCCACTGATAAAGTAAAGAAACAAAACCTGGGACTTTCAGTCAGTTTACCACCTCTAGAATAGTCTTACTATTTCTTTCAGTTCTCTTAGGGAGAGGAGTCTCTCTTGCCATGCCATGGAGACTTCTCCACAAGAAACAGTTCTCTTGTGGCTTCAGTGTCACAGCAAATCAGCCACCCAGCAAAGGAAAATCTGTTTGCAGTGTGAAAGTCCCTCCCATGCCTTGCAGCTTTCCCACAGCTACCACCATGTGTCATTCCAGCTAATTGGGGTAAAATTTTAAGGATGAGCTGTTCTAGTATAGAAACAAAAGTTCTCTTCTTTTATCTCTGGGAACAGAGGTTTTCTTTCATCTCTGGGGCAAGGTTTCTCATCTCTCTCATCTATTACCCCAGTGCGTTCCATGAATTACAGGGAAAAAACAAAGTCTGAGGCATATAAATTATACCTTCACCATGGCTTTACAAGAGAATTTCAGCCCAAAACTAAGGCATCTCCTGAATCTCCTCTCATCTAGAATTTGACTCCTTCTTCACTGACCTCAGCGTCCCATGTTCTTTTCTTTACTTGTCTTCACCCTTTTCCTGCTTCGGGACAGAATTGGGGTTCGTAAGTTCAGTTGTTCTCACATTTTATCAATTGAAACAGTTTTTGTACAGTTCTGCAGTGCTGAAAGGTTGATCTCATCCAGGCTCTGCACTGGGGAAATCTCTCACTGTGCCTCGCTATGGTCTCCACTGACACTGTGTGAGTCGTGCTGTGCCAGTGACACCCCGTGCCTTCTCTTCATGCAGGACACCAAAAAAAAGAGAAGCTCCCACTGCTGCTTTTGTCCTTCTGCCTGCAGCACGGCTGGACTAAAGCAGCTGAGCAAACAAAGTTCATTGTGAGCGTGCCAAGATAGCCACGGCCGTGTGGCGCTGCCCTGGCCACGTCGATTCCAGCCGAGCAGGCCCGGCCATGTGGCCGCTCCCAACCTCGGTTGTTCCCGTTGGCTTGGCCCTGCAGTGCTGCTGGAAAAAAGGACCAGCAGGCTCTGCCAGGAAGGGGCCTGGCCCTGCTGGGAAGGGGTCCCAGCTGCCCCATGGGGACAGGGTCCAGCATGCTTCCCATGCACCACTGCAGAGCCCGGCCTGGCCCAGTTGCCTGTTCAAAGGCTGGAAGCAAGAGAGGTTTTTCCAGGCTTTGCTCATGTTTAAATGTGTTTTCCACAGAGGCATGTTCACCTCTTTTAAGTGGTTTAGCTTGTCAATATTCAATATTGTTGAATATTGTTGTTAATATTCAAACTAGCCAGCTGATTGGCTTTGTCAGGTCCAAAGGAAGCTGCAAAGGTCCTTACAGGGAGCCACTTCCACAGCTCTTGGACTCCCTCCCCAGCTAAAACCAAACTATGTTAAACCACTACACAAAACTGTAGCAATTTTCACTTACACCACCTTAGCAAAGCAATATTCACATCCAGTTTTTTCTCTCATTCTTACCATCAGCAGTGCCCTGCAGCATTAAGGTTCACAGGATAGGTCCACTTGTCAGGAAATAATTTTCTCATATATTTGAATTGGTTCAGTGTTTAATTTCATTGCTATTCCCTTCTTACCATCTCCATTCTTTCCTCCACCTTGTGCCTTGAGACAGGAAAGGCCAAATGACCCTTCTGCCTTCTTTAAGGTCTTCACAGCCCACAAGGCAGCTATCCCTAGCATTCTCTCTCCAGCTGCCCTGAATCAGGGGCTCAGCAGCAGCTCTACAACCATCTCTGATAGCACTGCTGCACAAATGGGATCTTCCAAGAGGGCAGAACCAACATCTGGAGGCTAGAAACTGTGTCAGCCATCCTCAGCTATCTGGTTCCTATTCCTGAACTGGGACTTTCAGGTAAATAACTCCAATCATTGCAATTTCTTCTCCTAGGAGAATGTTACCAAGACTTTTATTGTTTTTATTGACCTGTCTTGCTTTCCTGTAGCCCTGCAGCTCTGCAATATTCTCTCTGAAATAAGGGGACTCGTAATTCACAGTGTTTATTTGACAACCTTTGTGTGCTCAGGGAAAGAGAAAACAATGCTGGGGAGGCACATTTTCCCTGTTCCACTTGCTGTGATCCCAGTATGTTTTGTCTCTCCTGCCCAAGCTAATGGGGTCATGCAGTAGGCACAGACTGAAAATGTCCTGTGGTTATAATGTTCAGCTCTTCAGAATGTTTACTGAGCCTGACTCACAAACAAGTTTTAACAATCAAGCCAGGGTGAATATTTTGTCAATGCAATATTTTTAGAATAATAAATAGACCAGTAATTTATTTAAAAGATGCTCTCATTTCATAAATATTTCCATAAAAGCTTGAGGAAGTTTAATTATATGACAATCTTTCACCCCATTGTGGAGGAGCAGAATGAAAACTAGCTTCACGTTCCTTGCTCAGCAGCTCTGTGGTTTCTGATCATACCTCTAATTGTTCAGAAGCTCTGCTTTAAATGATTGTTAAATGATTCAGGAATCATATTTATGTGGAGAAATTGTTCCACTGATCTTCACAAAAAGCCATGTTGGGAAAATCATCATTCTTTTTATTAAGGACCATTCTTATATCTATTGCATTTCTTCCTTTTACCAAATGTGCATCTTCTCTAATACAGCTTTGGGTAATTTTAAATTTTTCTCTATAGAAAACCATACTAATTACAGCTTGATTAGATAAGTAGTTAGTGAACCTGCAAGCTGCTTGCATAGGCTAGCAAAGCTGTTAGAAAAGGTTTCAGCAACTGAAGCTCACGGGAATATACAGCTTAAACTGCTCAGAATGAGAGCAGGCATCCAATCAATATTTAAGCCTATTTCACAACCTTTTCTCCCTGTGATTTTAACTTGCTGCTCAGCTAACCAAAAGCCTGCGATATGACTTTCTATTTTAGTATGTCTTCTTCTTGCAAAGATTGAGAGGGGAATTCTTAATACTGAAAATCATTAGAAGTAGTTCCCCCCACAATTTCTTTGTTAGACTACAAACAGAATTATAGATGGATTCAGGAATATGGAGTCTGAATACTTCATATTGACAAGAGGTCAGACTCCACTCTAAGGTATACCAATGCAAATCAGAAGATTTTTTTTTTTTTCTCAAAATTCAGTGCAGTTACTTCAGGCTTAGCTGGTTTAACTTTTAAGATTATGTTCAGGAAGGAAGTTCTTACAAAGTAAGAAATGGTACATATATAAATTGCTATTCTTATCAATTTGCACTTCTGTTTTTTGCTGAAAAACCTTTTCTGATGAATTTTAGGATTCAGAGAGACATTTGTTAGCTCCACAAAGGGAAGGTGTAAAATACAGTGAAGACTGCCTATAATTTTCTTTAATCTCAAGCCGAGTTACTACCAGCATGACCCTGAAAGTAGTATTACTTCCTGAATACACAGCCTTGATGAACAATAAATTTGTCTTTCATGACAGGTTTATTGTTTTGTTGAGGAATTGCTTGAAAGGCATTTCATTGTATATAGTGAAGGTGTAATTGGGCTACAGCAGTGCATTCCTTTAATATGTTAGGCAATAATTTCATGTCACCTTTTTGTACACAGGGATTTCATTCTGTTAAACTGATTGATTACTTTATCAGGACTTACTTGCTGGCATTTGAATAAAGCAGTGTCTTGCTGAAGGGAGAAGTATAAAACTTCAGTCCTTTGCCAAGAGGGCAGGATCTGTGTGAGAGAAGATGATAGCAAAGCAGTGTGTGCTGCATGGGGAGGTCTGCTGGGCATTCAGAGCAAGAAGTTGTCCGGTCTCTCTTTCCATCCAAGACAGACACAATTAAACCCACCATTTGCCTTCCCTGTCAGACATTTATATAAATTGTTCTTATATAAGTTAGTAGTAACTAACTACTACAGTAACTCCTGGTCATCTCTTGTGGCCTGAATCTGCAGATAAACAAACCTCTGTCTTACACCTCTTTCCACTGCCATTGGGGAAGCCCAAAGATGCAAAAGTTTTGAAAATTGCTCCCCATTATGATTGAGCAGTACCTCAGCATACATGAAAAAGAAATTGTCCCTAAGTTCTGAAAAATATTTATCACTGGTTTCTCAAAAGCATCTGCCGCTGTTCTGACAATCATCTAAATTGGATTGTGCTGAGGAAAAGCTGACCTTCTCCTTTCTCCAGTGAGGTATTCTATTGAAATTTGATAAATAAAATCAGTCAAAACCCCTTTAAATTTCCTCTTAGAATGTTTCCCTAGACAGAAGCCAAAGTGAGGAATATTAGGCTAAATTCTCTCTTGACATAAATCCATTGAACATAAATTAATCTACCTCTTGGAGCAACCTGATTGTGGCATGAGGTAAAGTATCCTTTCCGCACAGCACCCAGGACATAACTAAGTTACATCAGCAGAGAATTTGTTTTTCTATTGCTATAGCCAGATAACTCTGTTTTTAGTATCACATTAATAAATGTTCCTTGCAATGCTTCATGATGAGATTTCAGCAATAAAACTTACTTGTGTTTCTTTAAAATTTTAATTTACAAAATTGATCCAGACAGAAAACAAGAAGATTTTCTTTCAGAACCAACAAGGATGTTTCTGTGAAGTTTTGAAGAAAATCTATTAAGCTATGTTTGAATCTCACTTCATGAAACATTTAGCCTGACTTGCTGTTTTGATATTTGTTATAATGGCTTTTGTGTCTTGCTGAAAAACTTGTTGCACTGTTGCTCTCAGTCAGAATTTCCAGAAAGCTACAATGTTTTGGAAAGCATAGTGCTAGTTATGTGTGAAGATGCAGTCATAAATGAAAACACTGAAGTAATTATAATCTGCTTGAATATTTTTGCCTAATGTTATCTTGAGGAGCCCAAAGCACGGTCTGCAATAGTGAGGGTTCCCAGCTATTATCAAATCTAAGTTCCCCTGGATGAAGCAAGACAGACTCTTGCCTCTGTATTGTCCATCCATCTCTGTATTTGTCTGTGTTAGGTCTTCCTTCTGAGGTGCAGTTTTCATGCACATTAGTCACCCTGAGCAGCCTGCACAAAGTTGATCCTGACCTGCACCGTGCCATCTTTTGCCAGCAGGCTTCACTGCTAATCTACCATGAAGGATGCTTCATTTGCCGCCAGGTGGGTTGCACAGAGGGGCTGTGTTGTCCCACTTTTCTTGCTGCTGTCCAGAAAATTGCAATCATGCTTTAAAATGGACAAGTGGAAAAAGGCAGTCTCGCATGCCGTGCACACATTCTGCCTCATTTAGCACCTACATACAAAAAAGAAAAAAAAAAAGTTAATAGAGCTGCCAAACCAATTACATTAGATTAAATTAGATTAGTGAGCCAAAAAATTAAGACATCATGGCAGACAGGTCTAGGAATGCTGTGGCAAAAGGGAGTATGGGATACCCAGCTCTAGAAAAAAATTAATTTACTCAGTAAGCTACCACTGTAATAAAAATATTTTAAAAATGTCAAATGGAACTAAAACATTTTAGACTTATGGTGCATTAGCCAAAATTTTAAACATTTGCCTTGAGCTCCATAAATGTAAAACTGATGGAATGAGTTTAGTAGGCGATACAGATTATCTTTATCTGCAATAAACTGCACATGTTCATTGTAATGCAGGTCAGTTATAAATGCAATACAGACCACATATGTCTAATCTCATCTAATGATGACATCTATGCTTTTCTCTTACTTTGAAAAATGTTGGTAATTTCTATCTTGGGGTATTATTTCTGTTGACTGAAAATATGAATATTGAACATAAGTAATCAAGACCCAAACAGCTAGCCCAACACCCAAACCAATCAATACTTTGATTAATTAGGGTACTAGACTGGGTGTCAGAGGGAGCATTCACTACACTTACTATCAATAGTCATGGAAAATCACTGCTGTTCTCTAGGTTTAGGTCCTGCCCCAGATTGCAGAGATAAAGCAAAAGAAACCTCCTCTGTCAATCCCTGTCTGGTTTATATACAGATGAACTGGGAGTTGTAGGGTTCTTGGACATTTCTGACAATGATTGTAGAAAACATGCACACAGTGGGTGTTCTCAGATAAGATATCCAGCCCTCCCAGAATGTGCAGTACCTCCAGGGGTTTCAGAAATACCCTCCAATTGTCTGAATAGAAAACAATGAGAGAAAAACCAAATTCCCTATTGTTATGAGTAAATCTGTGAAGAAAAGAGTCAACCTTTTTTGTAGTAAAAGAGTTACAATCTTTCTAAAATGTATTATTTAAAAAGCACCAACCCAATAAATTTTCTGGACTTTGAAAGTAGATGTCTTGATTGACCATTAAAGATGACTTTAATTGACCATGAACGTTTCTCAGCAAAGCAACTGGGAATTTTACAAATTGTATGCTCGAGATGATATTTTGGTCAGGCATGGATTTCTGCATCCTATTATTGAAACCTTCAGCCAGCCACACAGGTCTATTAGGTGGAAAAGAACAGGGGCTGGTAAGTCAAAGGGGAAAAATTGTGACTGCTGTTATACCAGTTAGAAAGGGAAGGAATTGGCTGCAGAGAGGGGAGAGGGTTTGAGTTCACCTGTGGTTAAATAGTGGTTGCAATATAGCAAAATAATCTGTGGGTGCTGTAGTAATATTTGAGAAAGGCCATTGAGGAACGCATGGTAATAATTGATGGTCCAGGTCAGAAATACTCTAAGTCTTGTTTTAAAGTCAGGCAGCATCAAAAAACTGGTGACACTGTGTGGCAGTGATGGATTAACCCTTTCTAAAGGTTGTGGCTGAATACAATGCTTCCTCAACCTCATTGCCCAGGGACAAGAAGTAGAAATCTTGTCACACTGGCATAGCTGTGCTGGGGGTAGAAGCTCTGAGCAGGCACAGCACAGCCCCAGATGGAGCTGCTGGGGGTCTTTGGGACACCTTGTGCCTGTTCCAGTACAGTTCCTCCTCCTCTTCTTCCTCCTCCTTCTCTTTCTCTCTGCTCTCCTCTAGAGTTTAAATGCAGATGCTTTTCTCTACTGTCAGGACTGTCAGAGGAAAGTTTTGGATTTTGTTTCCAGTTTCCCTTTATCTTCTGGGCTTGCTAGGAAAGATCAAAGGAGGAGCTTTTCCTTCCCATTCATCTCACACCATAACTCTCAACACCATATGGGGAATCTGCCTGCTCCAAAGAGCATATGCAGGTAGACTGTTCTGGCACACACAAGAGCTTCATGAGAGATGGCTTGATTCAACACGACTTCCAAACCAGAGGAGAACGCAGCACGCTCCTGACAAGTTAAACATGGCTGGCAGCCGTGCCGCTAGGCCGTGCTCTCCAGCTGCACTCCCAGGCCTGTCGTGGCCAGGGACCCACGGGCTCGCTGGCCAGCAGGGGTGGCTGCCCTGGCAGCCAGCCGGCCTCTCCCGCAGCCCCTGTGGCTGCCAGCGCCGGCCGAGCCACAGCTGGGCCTGTCCCTGGGGTGCTCGGAGAGACGCCTTCCTCCAGATGCCCACGCAGGGGATGGGAGGGCTGGGGCAGGAGGCGAAGGCCAAGCCCAGCGAGTTCCTGGCTGCTGGACTCGTGGCTTGTTCCAGCTGACAGAACCATGCCCAAAGCAATCACTCACCTGCCTGAAGCAGAGGAGCCCCATATGTAATGGGACGGTTTGGCCGCTGGTTGTTCAGCGGGTTTCTGTCTCACACTAAGAGGTGTTCAACAGTATCAAAACTGACATTTTTCTTCATTTGTATGTAGTTCAGACAAGGACAACCCAGAAAGTAAGTGCAAAAGCAAGCTGACAGTTACTGGCTCAGGTTACCTTCAAGAGAACTGGAGGGAAAGGATAGGGATATGGGTGGTGGAGGGAAATAGGAATCTCCAGAGCCAGTTTGTCAGATTAAACTGTAGTCTTCCTCTCTAAGTCAAGTATCCCCAGGAGCTGAGCCTGGGCTTGCTTCTTCAGGTGAGCTCTGTGAGTCATGACAACTCTGGACACATAGGACACATCTGGTGGCACATTGAGAGGGGGTGGCCAGTTGAGGAAAGTCACTAGCAGTGGCCACATGCAATACTAAAGAACAGCTCATATACTCTTATGAACTTTTTCTTCAGTCTTTTCTCCCCTATTTTTCCTTCTCATGTAATTTTTGAGGCATTTGGAAGTGCAGACATGGACAATGCCCAGACAAGGTACAAGAACTTTGTGCAGGAACAGGCTACTACCCAGAGGAACTTAGTAGCTCTGCTTAATGATTTTAAATTAAAATTTTTACCATGATATTAAATTGCCAGTTTGGATTTCTTTAATCACCAGTTTGTATCCTGAGATTGCAAAGCAGGTGCAAAGGACATTAAATATTGCTTGCTGATAAGGGCATGGCACAAGACTAGTGACACAAAAGGGCAATAAACTCCTGAGTTTATGTGCCAGTTGAACCTCCTGCACACACAGATATTTATTTAGCTCTTGAGCATAAATCTCTCTAGTGAATTTCAGAATCTCCCTGACATGGGAATACTGAGCCTAAGGCATATTACCATCTTAATATGGAGCTTCTGCAAGAAGTATTTCTGCATGAATTGGACTTGTTACTTCAGATGATTATAGTTTCTTTCCCAAAGAGCACAACTGCACTAGAGAAACCCATATAATTTAGAAAAGAGACCACTAGAAGCCAGTTCTGTGAAAGGAATGAATTTTATATGACGATACTAAATTTGGGTGTGACAGATATACTGAAGGAAAAGTGCTTTAAAATAACACATGTGCCTCAGAAGCTGTGGCTATCTGCCCATCCTTTCCTGCTTGCACTAACTTACCCAGATGTATGTGTGCCTCCTTGCTTGGAAAATACTTTCTAACTCCCCTGCCTTTACGACCAGCTGGCCCAAGTCCAAAGTCTTGGCAGTATCATATTTCTGTCTGCATGCCTCAGTGTTCACAGCAAAAGTAATCATGGCAGCTAGTGTCAGGTAAATACCTTGGTGTCTGGATGGATGGATGGATGGATGGATGGATGGATGGATGGATGGATGGAAGAACACTGCTGGAGATCAGTTTCTCCGTGTTAACACTAAAATCCATTAGAAGGTGGGGTCAAATCATCCTTACCTCTTACTACGAGACTATGCCAATGGACATTATGTCTTATACAGAGGAGGCAGGGGCTGATTTTAACCCTTTTCTGGTCAAGATGTGTGCAGAGCAGCGTGTATGTGATCCTGGGTAATGGGGCAGATGGCACTTACTATACCCTGCTGTCCAACAAACATATTTTTCCATTAAATATGGAAGAGCAGCATCTTTTTTGTGAGCATGGACCTTGTTTTAATGGTGTTTTTATTGCCTCACAACTGTGAGGCAACTATATCTCTGGTGGTTCCTTGGCCTTACCCTTGAGATGTTTCAGAAGTTGAAGCAAGACCATGATGCAGAACACCACTTGCTGTGGCAGTTGTTACACTTGAAGCACAGACAAAACACACACTGCTTGCCCAGGAGCTTGTAGACTGAACTCAAAAGCTGAGATGACAGTATCAGAGAGATGGCTTTTCTTCTTGAAACACAGTTGCCATTTTTTTATAATACTTAACCAGAAACATAGGGGTTTAGGGTTTTTCACTTGTTGACTGCCATAAGCAGCTCCCAGACCAAAAGTAAATTTATAAATTGATTTCTCTAATCAAACATGAGGAAATCTGTGGCCCTCACTAGGCTCTGGGGCTGTTGTGGATGCATACCATTTTTATTTATTTCTGTTCAGATTTTAAATTGTGCAGTGGTAGAGTGGCAGCTCTGGCTCATTATAGAATAGCACATCTTCAAACAGGTTCACCTTCCACCTTATCAGAATTCCTTGATCCTATTTCTTCTTTAAAAATAGAGAACATTTTTGGAGGGTAACAAAACAGGAAATATATGTTTTGCTGCAATTTTTAATGTAAAGCAAGTATGTGATGGTTAAACAGCTAGATTAGGTCAAAATGTGGAAACTGAAATAAAAAAAATAAATGTACCAGGATCAGAGAGAGATGAGGTGGAGCAGTGATCACTTTGAAAATATTGGTCATATGTCCATGAAGGTAAAGGTGTCTCTGTTTTCATAACAGAAAAGTAAAAATGAAAGAGCCTGCCTGTATTTACAGGGATGGTGCTGGAT